CAGTATTCACGTGTTTAAAATGTTTAAACCCCAATAAAATCCAAACTAATTTCAATGTAACGTACAGTTCCACATCAGTAAAAGCGTTACAAAGTAGAACACGACCACCTTAAAATCCCTCGCCTTTCCAATAATCGATTTCTTCGTACATGACTAAACTTTCAACGAATGAAAATAGACCAAGCCTCGTAAAAATTGCATTGATTCTGTATCGGATTACATGTAGTTTTCCAGACGTAGTTATACATGGCAACATTGTTATATTAAAAAAGTAGGTACAAATGTTAATGAATGTCATTTTTTATTTTAACTTAACCCTCATAGGTTTTGTTACCTTCAGGCCAAGGAACCTCTCTACAAAATGTATTCCACATGGGCAAATCACAGACTTTCACCAGGCACCATCTTTTAACACAATGATTGGCACGAATCGTTTCAGCCACGAATCGAATATCGAACCCTCTGTGCCGATAAGTAATGTTAATATTTTGGTTTCGATTACGGTGTCGTTTACTAAAACACAACGATGCGTATAAAACGATCACCTATTTGTTTGCCACAAACATCTCGAGACACGCGTCATGACAGTGTAAAGAGATGCATCTCGGCCGTGCCTTGTGAAAGTGCACTCTGCAGCCTTCACTGACCCTTTCTCTCGTCCATCAAATACGCAGTCGCTCTCAGATTATTTTTTTCTAAGCGAACATTAACAGATTATCTCTGGCACTTTATTATAATACTCTGTCCTAGGAATAATATTTAATATGGAACTTAAATCAGCATTATGAAAATTTTGTTATTTTTATGGAAGATAGTTTACCTGTAGAAGAGCGCAATCGAGTTAAGTTTATGTGTCAAATAACAATAACGTTCAGAACATCTGTACCCCCTTTGTTCTCTTATAGGTTGCAAATATTGATAAAGAGAACGATCTCCCACAACGAATATAAAATTTAGTAATTGTTTCCAGTTGTTCCAACAACTTTTTCGTTATACGTAGAGCTAAAATTATTATCGTACAGTTTGTGTAGACATTCAGCAGTTTCGACAGGCGATAGGTGTAGGTAGGTAAGCTCGGCAGTCGTGATATCCTGGCAGGACGAGATGGGGGCGGCGGGGCAGGCGGGGGCGTAGGGGAGGCGGGGCATCTGGGCGAGTAGTTATTTCGGTATGCACATTGCATACGCCGCCATCGCTGCACTTGCCACTAGAAATAGTCAGGTCAGGGACCGCGACCACCGCTCCGATCCTTCACCAAGGTCAAGACTCGGCTCGCTGCCACCGGCCGCCGCACACGTCCCTCATGCACCCCGCACCCCTTCTTCAGCCCCCTCATCCCCGGCGCCCGTGTCACATTACCTCACTGGCCGCGCTTGTCAAACTTAAAGTCGGTTAATAGGCCTCGTGAGTAAATACACGAGATATTTCAACCTAAAACATTTCTCCGACCATATATTTACAATCCACTGTTATTATGTCAGACGGTAAGTTTAATGTAAGTTATCAAAAATAAACATCTATTGGACACAATGGACGTTTCTTACGAATTCGTTCGTCATTGTTAATGTTAGCAAACGTGACCTTACAATATCTAATCGATTCTTAATTGCAAATAATCATTAACATCGCGAGATAACAAAGAACGCGGTGAGCGCAGCGACCATTAGGTTTATAAAATTTGCGATAAGCGTAATTATATGACTAAAGATTGAGAAGACCGCACTCTGTATGTACCGTTTGCAAAAATTTCTCGCTCTTTTCCTGGACATAACATTGAATTCTTTCAATATAGCTTCTTATTGTTTCTTCGTAATTAACTTTATTTGTGAAAATTTTATAATAGTGCAATATTACAACATCGATAACAATTAAATATAATTGATGAATCCATTAAAAATTTTATCTTATATGCCAGATTGCATTTTAATCATTTGTGTTATTAATTTTAGCCTGCTGCGTTATTGCAATAATTGATTACATTTTAAAGTATTTTTCGTACCTAAGGAATCATCGGTAAATAGTATAAAACATACGCCAGCAGTAATATAATAACAGGCTTCACTCTCGTATTGGTTAGCGTTAATTTTTATGGCTTCAGCTTCCCCTATTGTTGGTCATCGACACCGAAATGTTGGTGAGTCCTTAAAGCTAAAAGCCGTTAATTAAAAATCCCTATCTTTTTAATTTTAACAGCGTAGCAAAATATTGTACAAATATAGACTAGTTTAAGGTCTCTAAATCAAGAAAATCTACTATTTGAGATCATAATCCACTCTTAACTCTATCTGAAGTAGCTTTAAGTAATCCCCACAAGGAGTATTGCTTTTGTGTAATAAAATGTTCAAATTTTAAATTGATAAATTTTAGATGCGCGGGCGATGAGAAATGAAGCAAGACATCTCTAGTGCGACCGGCGCGGCGTCGGCGATGCGATGTTGGCGAGGACATTGCACTTCTAATGCCTCCCCCGCCGCCACTCCCGTCCCTCCGCGCTTTGGTCCTTCCCCCCTGGGCCCGCCGAAACTCGCTAGCCAATGTTGCCCCTCCCGACCGGATTTCACTATTTAGTCACCCGATGGACGTCGAATGTTTATTTGGAGGATGACTACGCTATTTCGAGTGGACGGTTCTTAACATTCAACCCGATAGGTTATTTAGCATTTTAAATATTATTTGAATATTAATGACGCATAACGTATTGCAAACTAATCATCTGTTTATTTTATTATTACCAAATTTCTCACAGTTAGGAATATAAATAATCATATAATCTGTTGGAAAGTATGAATAATGATACAGGCAATTGCAAATTAAAACGATAATATGAATATACAGTTCTTACTGACTTATCATGGAATAACCTAAAAAATTATATAATAGGTTATAGTAACAATTACATACAAAAGTAGAGCATGAAACTTCTAGAATACTTTCGTTAGAGATGAAAGTACGTCGTGATGGTGTCTGTTTAACATTGAATGGGGATTGCATCAACAAGTCGAGCCAACTCGACGCATCGCGCAGGCGGCAGGCGTCTATTGAAGCAGCAACACTGCGCTTCCCGTTACGTTTATGTATCGCGATACATAGTGTCTATTTACTGACTGCGCTTGCCTCGTACCGAATTCAAAACCATTCTATCAAACGTATTATTTTTCATACATTTACTACCATAAAATCGATAGTACACACACTTTTTCAATAGCAGTAGTTATAAATATTAATCGTTCATAGTAAATTGCTTGTAATTTCACTTTAATAAAAAAAAAATTGCGACTGACAATTTTTAGTATGTATTAATTAATAAGGTATTTTTCCGTCAGTCCTTGCTAACCTAATGTATACAAAATTTATTTATTTATTTATTTATTTATTTATTTATTGGAAGACCAACAGCCATTTTTACAAATTAAGTACAACAATAGTTAGTAAACATATAGCCAAATTATAATCAAAATGAAATGCTATTTTTTATTTGAATATAATGTTTATGTTGACGGTACATTTCGACGTGCCGAGTGTGGCTGGCGGCTGGTGGCAGCGAGTGGCCTGCCTCAACCGGCGGCGCGTTGTGGCCGCGCGCGTGACGTCACGCCGCTTCCTGCCTTCATTTTTAAACGATTAAAAAAATCATAACAAATACACCAATACGGCAGGCCACGAAAAATATTGTCTATAAATAACATACTTGTATATGAATCATGCTTAGCTGATTGATAATAATAATTTATGTATGAGGTTTAGTATCAATTTAATATCATCGCCCAGAGATGTACAAATGATGCTCTACATATGTACGATCTATGAAGGTTTTGTCTTCCCATACCTATGGATAGGAGATAGCATTAAACTGCAAAACTGAATTCGTTTAACATGGAACGTCTATATTATTTATGTATAATTCTAGGAGTAAATAATTGTATAGTAGCAACATATATGACGCTTTAGTTACCAATTTGCTTAAGATAACACAAGACAAAGGAAAGCCGTGCCGAATGTAAATCGGACCGGACAATCGCTAATATGGAATTCGTGATCACTGAGTACATAAAGTATTACATCAGACAATCAAAGCACCTTAGGCCACTTCTAGGCTGTATGATAAATACAGCCTAGAAGTGGCCTAAGGTGCATTAATGTGAAAGTAATGTTGGATGAATTCATATTCTTCTTCCTTATAATTTTGGTCATTCCAGTCTTCTTCCTGGCTTGTTAAGGATATTTCCCTTTCTTAAATATCCCCTCCCCCGTAAAATCAACTTCTTTGTATTGGAAATTTCCATCACATTTAAATTCGGGATTGGGAAGTTGATTTAGCGGGGGAGGGGATATTTAAGAAAGGAAAATATCCTTAACAAACCAGGGAACTAGTCGAAGAGAAGGATCGTTTAACAGGATGCCAAATTAGATACGCAATACGAGGAAAAGTACTCCCACACAATGCGACCTAGGTCAATAACGTCCGAACATATTTGTTGACCGTTGATAATGTTATCTTGCTATGCAAATTGCCCTTTAAATGGCTAAATCGCTAATTGAACACATTGTTTACTGATGCCACAGAGTAAGCAAGCAAGTGTTGATAATGTATCTCTATTTGTTGAATTATTACGCGAAAGTTCTCAGAAGGAACAATAAATATGTCATTATCGGTACCATAGGACAATTAAATGTCATTAAATGTTCTCCGATTTGTAATTAAAGTAAATCTTCTCTATAATTAGTATACGGATAGTTAATTCTACCTTTTAATTTGTTTTGTTACAGCATTTTCATTTCAAATTTTGAAAAAATATATTACTGACAGTATAATCGACCAACACATGTCATTCAGCGTTAAATAATTCATACCAAAAACCTCTTTTCCTCAACCTAAATCAGTCCAAATTGTACCGTCGCCCTCGATTTTAATTGGGAAAAGGATTAAAGGAATAAAAAAAGCATTCCTTTATATTTAGCAATCGCCCCTGTAATTACAGCGTTGGTTTCCTTAATTACAGTCCCCAATAAAAAGATCGGTGCTTCCTACTTCCCACACAAGGCACAAGGCGAGGGAGGTGCAGCGCTGCGCATGCGCGACATGTGCGGCTATCGAGCTTATTATTACATACCGGTAAATATTATCAAAATACTCATTACCTTTCCTTGTCATAGACATAGAAATAAACAGACCTCCTAATACAATCATAGTATCACATTTGCTGATACACTCGAAGTTCTTCATGGTTACTAAGACAGCCCTTTAATGTAGATTGTGTATGAGTGTATTTGATATCTTTGCAACCATTACGTGACTGACTGTCGCAAGTAGATACAGGAATCATATAATACTATTGTTTATCATTTAAAAAAACGTTTATTTCATCCACAAGATTTTAAGATTGTTTTTGCTATTGTATTGCTTATATTTCACAAGCATATGCTACTTTTAATGCTGAATATTTTCTTTCGTGAAAGTTTATGGTAGAGATAGAGTTCTTTTACGATTATATCGAAATCTTTATTTTACCAGAGCCATATCTAAACTTTAGTAACTCTATAACATAGTGTAAGGTAGTGAACAAAATAAAAAGATTGGTAAGCAAGTTCCGGGTGCAGTCAGGACCTGCGACAAATAGTTTATTTCAGTCGTCTTCCCTTCCTCAACGCCACCACCGATTAATTAATCCCATTCTAATGTTACATTAATTAAATCTATTCTTAGAAACTTACCTTACATGTTCATACGACATACGGTAGTAGAAACAACTGAAGCTAAAAGCATCTAAATTAGTTTGTTTAATATTTTATCTAATTTAGTACCGATTTTTTTAATTTACAGTATTGTAGCGCAATCTTATTTCTTAATCTTATTAATAATATAAATGCGAATCTTTACATCGTTGGATGGATGTTTGTTTGAAGATATCTCCAGAACGGCTGAACGGACTATAATTAAATTTGGAATAGATGTAGAACATAGTCTGGAAGAAAACGTAGGCTACTATTTAAGTTTTTTTAATTCCACGCGAACAGAGTCCCGAGGCACTCAAGCGAGCGTATTTAATAAGTTTTGGAATTTAAATATATCAGAGTTTTAAATAACATTCTATTAAAGCTTTAAATTTAAAAATACGATAATGTCAGGTTGTTCATTGAACTTTATTGTTTCGACTTGCGAAACATTTAATTACCTTGTATATGTAAATTTACAGAATAGAAATTGCATTATTAAGGATATTGTTGCAGCGACGTATGTTAATGCGCATGACATTTGCACTGCATATAATATGTTAATCGCGCTTTATTAAGCAAATCAGTTCAGTTCAGACAAGTTAAGTTTATATTAAAAATTTTAATGCTTTTGTTTGTATTTTCCATTCCAATTAATATATAGTTGCATTCAGTTATATATAACTAATCAATTAGAAACAAATACAAATAATAATTAATTCAAGTATCCATTCCATAGTTAGTAACACGACTATGGATAGTAACTAATACAATGTTGTTAATTAATTGGAATCGTCATTGTCGAGATGGGTAATGACAACGCGATGCAAACTTTTGCAATAAGTACCACTTTTTTTTTTATGATATTATTGTTTAGAATCTCCAAAATTGAACATAGATCATGACAAACATTAGTCAAACATTTAAATCGATTTAAAGACTTCGGAATTCATTAGTAAACTAACAAATCGTTCCTTCTTTCTAAAGAAATTAGTTTTTTTTTCAACGATATTTTTGTGACGATAAGTTTTCGAACTTGAATTAGTATGTAATAGCATATATTGCAAAGTTCAATGTCGTAGAGAGATGGAACAAGTTGTCTGTCCCATGAGGTCAGCGGTCATCGGTCAGAGGTGGTCAACGGACGGCCCGCTGGCCGGGGGTTGCGAATAACTCGACCGTTCCCCACCGGACAACGCATCCATCAAGTGAATTTGAATTTTATTTGTAAAGGGAATCTTGTAAAGATGAGCGAATATAAAGAATAGACGTTTTACCTATTATCATGTTAGATTCCATACCGATAAAGCTTAATTATTCTTACCAAAATGAAAATTCACTTTGTCAAATACAAGTAAAAATAACAATATTCTTGCAGAATCGTCGAATTACGAATATGAATAACTGTATGTATATAGTGGATCTTATCCCTGATTTTATATAATAGTTATAAAAACTTAGAAATTTGCCTGTTTGAAAAGTAAGATCTAGTCACGATATTTTGTTTAAAAATAATTTCCAGTAATAAAAAATAACGATTACTTAAAAATTTTATCAATTAATTTTGCAACATTGTAAACATTTTATTAGCAAGAACATTGAAAACATTCACATTGCAATTCTAATGATTGATAAAAATTCAATGTCACGTTTAAGTTCAAGTTCTCAGTCCCAGGAGGTCGCATCGGTCAGAGGTGACCAACGGCCGGCCCGCTACGGAATTTGCACACGAATCTTACCTTTTACCTTCACCCCACACTTGTTGCGGCCCATTGTTATATCACACAATGCTACAATAGCACCGAACATTTTTAGGAATAACCCAATAACACGAAAAAATTGCACATTTCAACAAAAAAAAACATTAACCTTTGTAAGGTTAAAAGTCGGCAAAAGTTCATTATGCGTTTTTTGTTTTTTTGTAATATATAACAAAGAACGCAAGTTTTGCAAACAAAAGCTTTTAGAAATTGGCATTTTCGACGAAAAATTCATTATGCAAGGAAAAAATACAAATTTAAAAAATGCAACAAATGGTATAAAAAACCGAAAAATGCAAATAAATATGATAAAGACCCTTAGTACTCGTAAACCGGCCTTGTCGAAGTTCGTTCGTCACCTATGACCCATGCTTGACCAGTAGCGTCCCTCAAAATCTTGCATTAGACACACACGTAGCCTTAATATTGAACGTTGTACAGATTAAAAAAAAATCAATGTAGATTAAATATTCCATGTAAAAATTATTAAAATATGTCGCCGAAGTATATTTGTAAATCTTAGCGTGTTTTTTAATTTGATCGTTTTAAGTTATCTGATTATTTAATGAGTCATAACAGAATGATTTCATTAGTCTATGATTTATTATGATTTAGTTCATTCAACTTATAATTAAAGAAAAGATTAAATACGTAGCTTGATGAAGATTATAGCTAATAAATTTTTGTCACTTTTTTCTGAGATGAAAATCTCTGTGTAAAACATATCGTCATCCCCGTCATTATCTTAAGCAACACAGAGTAGCAATATGTATTAAACGGAGATTTTGGATTCAGAAACCCTCGGTTAAACGAAATATTTTTGGCAAATTTAGGGTTGCATTATTTTAAGAAATATGGAAATCTTCTAAATAATTTTTTTTATTCCTTGTTAGGCGTAAGTGGAAATTTTTAGTATTTTTGTCCACGATAATTGTAGAGAGGGCTTATTTTCACAGTAGATCGTAATAAAAGCTGCAGTAATTTTTAACGTCACATTAAATTTAATATCGTTGAATTAAAAACAGCGGTCACTGGACAACGGTCAGTTCCCCGATTTACGACTCTTTTATTTACTCTAAGCCTATTAAACCCTTTCCATTGTTATATGTTCTTGAGAAGGGTAATTAATATGGCGTGTATTGTGCGAATCCAGCACCTTTGTTCTTTGTTGTTTCGCCGCTTTGTACGACGGGCGGTTTTTTTGTGCGATATTTTGTTTAGATGATCATTAGTTTAGTGGGCAGTCCGATGACCGATTCAAAACGGTTTTTTCTCACAACGCTCGTGTGTTTGGGAACCTTTATAATATGCAAATCGGAAAGAATAAAACTTCAATAGTTTTGTGATAATTTAATAAGCATTAACATATAGTGAAAAATGAAGAAAAAAAACAAGTATTATAAGGAAAAAAGTGGTGCACTTACATTGAAATCTGTGAAACACGAAACCCTCAAAGTAAATCAACTAAACAAGAAAAAAATCTGCTTGAAAAATCTCAAAAAAATATTATTACTAAAACGGTGTATCAATATTTATTTAATGTTATTTTTCACCTATTTTTTTTTTGTAAAATGTAAACCTGAGTAAGAATTAAAATTATCGCGTGAATTTGGGAATTATGTTCTTTTACACGTTTCGATAAATAACAGAGACCTTTTTTGTAGCCAATACTAAAAACTAAATTATTTCAATATCAAAATTTACGTTAAAAAATTAGTAGAGATATTTAATAATAAAACATTATTCGCACCTTAACAATTTCTCAACGGACCAGTATCGGTAGGGTTTGCCGTGTGCAACATTGCACCACGCTGACCTCTGATCTCTGCTGCGCTTCAGAAACAGTCGTTAGGCAATTGTCCACGGACTGGTTCCGTTGATAAATATAAAACGTATTTTTCTATTCATTACCTATTAAAAAATTGCTTATAAGCACTTCGTTTTATCGCATAAAGATTTAAATGAATGAGTGTTAATTTACATAATTTGGTAAAAATAATAACGCAAACTGTTGTTTTGCAATAAAGTTCAATGTACTCATATATCTCTACTTCATTCATATAGTCTTCATACAAATAAACGATAAAAACATAGGTAATTCTGAACGCCTGGTACTCAATATAAAACATGTAGGTATATACAATCGCGCAAGTATATACCTACGCAGGACGATCGCGAATCATCGAAGCGGCGAGCGTGTGTTTGCGAATCACCCGAGAGCAAGAGGATCGCCCTCCCGCCGCGCCGGCCAATGAGACTCCAGACGCGCTCCGTCGCCGACCGCCACTCACTTCCTCGCGAATATATTGGCACATGCGAACCTTCTATACATAGCATTGTTATACTGTAGTCATATATTAACATGTAACCGTTTTATCTGTGCGTCTGTGGGTATGTATATAACTGATATGTATATTTTTATCAATGTCGTAGAACTATACCGATTTATGCGGCCTTGGTAACTCAACGTCGATTTGAATTCGTTCAACTAAAACAATAGCTGTCAAAATGTCAAAAGAACTCTTTGCTGTGCCGGAAGTATAAAAAGCTCGCAAGGGGAGTTTATAAGAAACGGCTTCAAGGGATTACTCCCAATTGGGGACTTCTGTAGGGCTTTCTAAGTATAGCGAACTGTTAGGTG